AGGTAATATTCTTTATTTGTTGCACAGTTTTTAACCATTTCAAACTTTTTGTTTTTAATTATTTTACTAATATCCGAGAGAGGATTGGAACTTATATCTGAGGGAGGGACCTTATACTTACACTAGGGAGGGACCTTATACTTACACTAGGGAGGGACCTTATACTTACACTAGGGAGGGATCTTATACTTACACTAGGGAGGGATCTTATACTTACACTAGGAGGGGACCATATACTTACACTAGGGAGGGACCTTATACTTACACTAGGGAGGGACCTTATACTTACACTAGGGAGGGATCTTATACTTACACTAGGGAGGGACCTTATACTTACACTAGGGAGGGACCTTATACTTACACTAGGGAGGGATCTTATACTTACACTAGGGAGGGACCTTATACTTACACTAGGGATGGACCTTATACTTACACTAGGGAGGGACCTTGTACTTACACTAGGGAGGGACCTTATACTTACACTAGGAAGGGACCTTACACTAGGGATGGACCTTATACTTACACTAGGAAGGGACCTTACACTAGGGAGGGACCTTATACTTACACTAGGAAGGGACCTTACACTAGGGAGGGACCTTACACTAGGAAGGGACCTTACACTAGGGAGGGACCTTATACTTACACTAGGAAGGGACCTTACACTAGGGAGGGACCTTATACTTACACTAGGAAGGGACCTTACACTAGGGAGGGACCTTATACTTACACTAGGAAGGGACCTTACACTAGGGAGGGACCTTATACTTACACTAGGAAGGGACCTTACACTAGGGACGGACCTTATACTCACACGTGGGGGGGGACCTTCTGACTGAGGAAGGTTCTCTGCAGAGTAATGGTTCGGTGATACTGACAAGATGTGGAATAAGATACTTAGGCTCGATTCAGGACATTTACTAGAGTGGTTTCCTCAGTCGTCTGTGTTCTACATAATTCTAGGAGAGGTCACTAGGTATTTAAGAGGGATCCTAAATTTAGATCATTGGAAGAAATAAACTGTCACTGCCCTTCAGGTTTCTGTGAGAAAGTGACCTATTTATTCCTTGAGAAAGGGAGGCACAGTATACTTAGTTCTGAGGGACGTACCATCTATCTAGATGGGAAGGAGGGACCATCCACCTAGATGTGAAGGAGGGACCATCCACCTAGGTGTAAAGGAGGGACCATCCACCTAGGTGTAAAGGAGGGACCATCCACCTAGGTGTAAAGGAGGGACCATCCACCTAGGTGTAAAGGAGGGACCATCTACCTAGGTGTAAAGGAGGGACCATCCACCTAGGTGTGAAGAAGGAAACATCTAGCGAGACATACAGGAGGGAACCTCATACTCACAGTCAAAGTATCGTTCAGGCAGGAAGTGCAGTATCTTACTGGATCTTAGAAGTGGTTCCCGATCTGCAAGGAACAGCACTTTTTAGTTATTATATTCACGGGGAAGCCCTAAACCGGTAAGGGGGGCCATGCACCGCCTGGGAAATGGAAGGTAATTACGTTTAATGGGATTCACTGCAGCTCGAGAACTTCACAGCATCAACACGCCTTCCTTGGAGTTTACTATTGAAATTTGTGTATATTATTATTTATATTAGATGTGGAGGTGTTGGTTGTAAGTAGCAAGGTAACTCGTACTGTATCGGACCCTGTGGTTGAGGTGCTAGTTTAAATTAGGAGGAAAGGTAGTGTACAAAAGTGATAGTTATCATCTTCAGTGTTTCAGATGAGTGAGTGGTGGTTGCTGGTGCTGGTGGTTGCTGGTGCTGGTGGTTGCTGGTGCTGGTGGTTGCTGGTGCTGGTGGTTGCTGGTGCTGGTGGTTGCTGGTGCTGGTGGTTTCTGGTGGTGGTGGTTGCTGGTGCTGGTGGTTGCTGGTGCTGGTGGTTGCTGGTGGTGGTGGTTGCTGGTGCTGGTGGTTGCTGGTGCTGGTGGTTGCTGGTGCTGGTGGTTGCTGGTGCTGGTGGTTGCTGGTGGTGGTGGTTGCTGGTGGTGGTGGTTGCTGGTGGTGGTGGTTGCTGGTGCTGGTGGTGCTGGTGGTGGTGGTTGCTGGTGGTGGTGGTTGCTGGTGCTGGTGGTTGCTGGTGCCTGGTGGTTGCTGGTGGTGGTGGTTGCTGGTGGTGGTGGTTGCTGGTGGTGGTGGTTGCTGGTGCTGGTGGTTGCTGGTGGTGGTGGTTGCTGGTGCTGGTGGTTGCTGGTGCTGGTGGTTGCTGGTGGTGGTGGTTGCTGGTGGTGGTGGTTGCTGGTGGTTGCTGCTGCTGGTGGTTGCTGCTGTGGTGGTTGCTGGTGGTGGTGGTTGTGGTGGTTGCTGGTGTGGTGGTTGCTGGGTGGTGGTGGTTTGATGGTGGGGTGGGTGTGGGGTGGTGGTTGCTGTGGTGGTTGGTTGTGGTGCTGGTGTTTGCTGGTGCTGGTGGTTGCAGGTGGTGGTGGTTGCTGGTGGTGGTGGTTGCTGGTGGTGGTGGTTTGCTGGTGGTGGTGGTTGCTGGTGCTGTGGTGCTGGTGGTGGTGGTTGCTGGTGCTGGTGGTTGCTGGTGCTGGTGGTTGCTGGTGGTGGTGGTGCTGGTGGTGGTGGTTGCTGGTGGTGGTGGTGCGGTGGTGGTGGTTGTGGTGGTGGTGGTTGTTGGTGCTGGTAGGTTGTGGTCGGTGGTGGTTGCTGGTGGTGGTGGGTTGCTGGTGGTGGTTGGTTGCTGGTGGTGTGGTTGCTGGTGGTTCTGCTGCTGGTGGTTTGCTGGCGTGGTGGTGGTTGTGGTGGTGGTGGTTGCTGGTGTGGTGGTGGTTGCTGGTGGTTGACTGCTGCTGGTGGTTGCTGCTGACTGGTGGTTTGACTGAGGGGTGGTGGGTTGCTGGTGGTGGTGGTTGCTGGTGCTGGGTGGTTGTGGTGGTGGTGGTTGTGGTGGTGGTGGTTGCTGGTGGTGGTGGTTGCTGGTGGTTGCGCTGCTGGTGGTTGCTGCTGATGGGTGGTGCTAGGTGGTGGTGGTGCTGTGCTGGGGTGTTGCTGGTGGCGGTGGTTGCTGGTGTGGTGGTGCTGGTGCTGGTGGGTGCTGGTGCTGGTGGTTGCTTGGTGTGGTGGTTGCTGGTGGGTGGTGGTTGCTGGTGGTGGTGGTTTGCTGGGTGCTGGTGGTTGCTGGGTGCTGGTGGTTGCTGGTTGCTGGTGGATGCTGGTGGTGGTGGTTGCTGGGCTGGTGGTTGCTGGTGCTGGTGGGCTGGTGCTGGTGGATGCTGGTGCTGGTTGGTGTGGTGGTTGCTGGTGTGGTGGTTGTGGTGGTGGTTGTGTGCTGGTGGTTGCTGGTGCTGGTGGTTGCTGGTGCTGGTGGTTGCTGGGTGGTGGTGGTTGCTGTGGTGGTGGTTTTTGCTGGTGCTGGAGGTTGCTGGTGCTGGTGGTTGCTGGTGGTTGCTGGCCTAGTGGTGGTTGCTGGTGATGGTGGTTGCTGGTGCTGGTGGTTGCTGGTGGTGGTGGTTGTGGTGGTGGTGGTTGTGGTGGTGTTTGGTTGCTGGTGTGGATTGTGGTGCTGGTGGTTGCTTGTGGTGGTGGTTTGGTGGTGGTGGTTGTGGTGGTGGTGGTTGCTGGTGGTGGTGGTTGCTGGGTGATGGTGTTGCTGGTGGTGGTGGTTGCTAGTTGCTGGGTGGTTGCTGGTGCTGGTGGTAGCTAGTGCTGTGGTGGTTGCTGGTGCTGGTGGTTGCTGGTGGGGTGGTTTGCTGGTTGGTGGTTGCTGGTGCTGGTGGTTGCTGGTGCTGGTGGTTGCTGGTGGTAAGTATGTAAGTAAGTAAATTTATTCAGGTATACACAATACAGCTGGGGTGGTTGCTCGGTGCTGCGTGGTGTGTTGCTGGTGGTGGTGCTGGTGCTGGTGGTTGCTGGTTGCTGGTGGTTTGCTGGTGCTGGTGGTTGCTGGTGGTGGTGGTTGCTGGTGCTGCTGGTTCAGCTGGTGCTGGTGGGTTGTGGTGCTGGTGGTGCTGGTGTGGTGGTTGCTGGTGCTGGTGGGGTGGTTTGCTGGTGCTGGTGGTTGCTGGTGGTGATGGGTTGCTGGTGCTGTGGTTGCTGGTGCTTGTGGTTGCTGGTGTGTGGTTGGCTGGTGACTGGTGGTTGCTGGTGCTGGTGGTGCTGGTGGTGGTGGATTGCTGGTTGGTGTTTGCTGGTGGTGGTGGTTGCTGGTGCTGGTGGTGCTGGTGGTGTGGTTGTGGTGGTGGTGGTTGCCTGGTGGTGGTTGCTGGTGCTGGTGGTTGTGGTGCTGGTGGTTGCTGGTGCTGGTGGTTGCTGGTGGTGAGTGGTTGCTGGTGGTTGGTGGGTGCTGGTGATGGTGGTTGCTAGTGCTGGTGGTTGCTGGTGGTGGTGGTTGTCGCTGGTGGTGGTGGTTGGTGGTGGTGGTTGCTGGTGCTGGTGGTTGGCTTGGTGCTGGTGGTTGCTGGTGTGGTGTTGCTGGTGGTGGTGGTTGCTGGTGGTGGTGGGTGCGGTGATGGTGGTTTGCTAGTGCTGGTGGTTGCTGGTGTAGGTGGTTTGCTGGTGGTGGTGGGTGCTGGTGGTGGTTGCTGGTGGTGGTGGTTGCTGGTGGCTGGTGGTTGCTGGTGGTGGTGGTTGTGGTGGTGGTGGTTGCTGGGGTGGTTGCTGGTGTGGTGGTTGCTGTGATGGTGGTTGCTGGTGCTGGTGGGTGCTGGTGGTGGTGGTTGCTGGTGGTGGTGGGTGCTGGTGATGGTGGGTTTCTAGTGCTGGTGGTTGATGGTGCTGGTGGTTGCTGGTGCTGGTGGTTGCTGGTGGTGGTTGCTGGTGCTGAGAGGTTGCTGGTGTGTGGATTTGCTGCTGCTGGGTGGTTGTTGGTGGTGGTGGTCGGTTGCTGGTGCTGCTGGTTGCTGGTGCTGGTGGTTGCTGGTGCTGGTGGTTTGCTGGTGCTGGTGGTTGCTGGTGGTGGTGGTTGCTGGGTTGATGCTGGTTGCTGGTGGTGGTTGGTTGCTGGGGCTGGTGGTTGCTAGTGCTTGGTGGTTGCTGGGTGGTGGTGGTTGCTGGTGCTGGTGGTTGCTGGTGGTGGTGGTTTGATGGTGCTGGTGGTTGCTAGTGCTTGGTGGTTGCTGGATGCTGGTGGTTGCTGGTGGTGGTGGTTGCTAGTGCTGGTGGTTTGCTGGTGTGGTGGAGTTGGTGTTTTGAGCTGGTGTGGTGGTTGCTCAGTGTGGTGGTTGCTGGTTGTGGTGGTTGCTTGGTGGTTGGTGGTTGCTGGTGAGGTTGTTGCTGGTGCTGGTGGTTGTGGTGGTGGTGGTTGCTGGTGATGTGTGGTTGCTGGTTGCTGGTGGGTTGCTGGTGCTGGTGGTTGCTGGTGATGGTGGTTGCTGGTGCTGGTGGTTGCTAGTGCTGGTGGTTGCTGGTGCTGGTGGTTGCTGGTGGTGGTGGTTGCTGGTGATGGTGGTTGCTGGTGGTGGTGGTTGCTGGTGGTGGTGCTTGCTGGTGCTGGGGGGTTGTAGTGCTGGTGGTTGCCTGGTGTGAGTTGGTTGCTGGTGGTGGTGGTTGCTGGTGGTGGTGGTTGCTGGTCGATGGTGGTTGCTGGTGGTGGTTGGGATTTGCTAGTGCGGGTGGTGGTTGCTGGTGTGGTGGTTGCTAGTGCTGGTGGTTGCTGGTGGTGGTGGTTGCTGGTGGGTGGTGGTTGTGGTGCTGGTGGTTGTCTGGATGCTGGTGGTTGCTGGTGGTGGTGGTTGTGGTAGCTGGTGGTGGTTGCTGGTGCTGGTAGGTTTGCTGGTGCTGGTGGTTGCTGGTGTTGGTGGTTGCTTGGTGTGGTGGATGCTGGTGTGGTGGTTGCTAAGGTGCTGTAGGTTGGCTGGTACTGGTGGTGCATAAGTGTGGATGGTGCTGGTGCTGAGTGGTTGTGGTGGTGGTGGTTGTGGTGATGGTGTTGCTGGTGCTGGTGGTTGCTTGGTGGTGGTGGTTTGCTGGTGATGGTGGTTGCTGGTGCTGGTGGTTGCTAGTGCTGGTGGTTGCTTGGTGCTGGTGGGTTGTGGTGCTGGTTGAGTTTGCTGGTGATGGTGGTTGCTGGTGGTGGTTGTTGTGGGTGGTGGTGGTTGTCTGGTGTGGTGGTTGGTGGTGTGCTGGTGGTTGCTGGTGGTGGGGGTCTGCTGTGCTGGTGGTTGCTGGTGGTGGTGGTTGCTGGTGCTGGGTGCTGGTGGTTGCTTTGGTGGTGGTGGTTGTGGTGCTGGTGGTTGCTGGTGAGTGATGGTGGTTGCTGGTGCTGGTGGTTTGGCTGGTGGTGGTGGTTGTGGTGGTGGTGGTTGTGGTGGTGGTGGTTGGGTGGCTGTGTGGTTGCTGGTGCTGGTGGTTGCGGTGATGGGGGTTGCTACTGGTGCAGGTTGTTGCTGGTGGTGTGTGGTTGCTGGTGTGGTGGTTGTTGGTGATGGTGGTTGCGGGTGCTGGGGGTTGGCTGGTGATGGT